CTAATTCATTATTGACGAGTTAAATTACAAAGAAATTTAAGAAATGATTCAAAATATCGGCAAAATTCATTTAACAACCTACTCATAAGTTGCAACTTTCATACTACACAACCATAGTAGTTCAACAAAATACTTTGTTATCTCTGATTGCAGCGTACACGGTTGACGATGCATACAATTTTCCGAAAATGCTTCATTTCCATCCGGTTTGGAAGGAACTTCGTTGAATGAATAATTTTTTTCGAATGGTTCATTACTAGGGAAACGGAAAAAGATGCAAATGTCGGCTATGAAATACAAGTATATTTGCCATTGTTATTAGTGCTGATTGAGACGAAGTAACATGAAAACAACAACTATAACAATGAGGTACGAGGCAAAAATGTGTACAAATAATTACGCCAATAGCTCACGTTTGTAATTGGATATTCTTTATGAGAATAAAAATTGGTAATATTAACTTTTGTTAAAACTTCCATCTATCTTTTTTTCCTTCGAAGGAACGATCTTTTCTGATCTTGACCGTATCAAGTTTAGCAGAATGAATTCATGGCATTGAATTTGATTTGCAATGATCAACCAAAAAGAACAGTTTTTTTTTATGTATTTTCATTTGCGGAAATTGGATTTGGTCAAAAAGCTTCAAATTTCTTTGAAGATAGCTTTTGGATAAATAACATTCAACTCAATTCGGTTTTTCTCTACAAACGGAATTCAATTTTATTAAGATAATAATAGAAAATGATGGATCAAAACTAATTACCACAAATTTATGAATATTTGATTAAATCGTTGGTCGGTCCGAATTTTTCGATATCGTAAAGCCAAAGACAATGACCGTGCACTGGGATAAGAGTAAACCGGAACAAAATGAAGTGCTTAAGGTTTTTATGTTTTTTTCTTCGTTAATTCGTTGTGTGGCTTTTTTCGTGCTCTTGACCGAGATTGTGTAATTTTATACGGTTATGAGTAACGGGACCCCCGTTGTTGAGAGAAAAAAAAATGAAATTACTCGGCTGAAATCGGAAGAGTTTAAGTATACTCTGGAAGAAAGAAAGTTGGAAATATCAGTTTCAAATCTAGTGAAAAGCAGATGAGTTGAAGTTTATCTCTGGCACTGTAACTATAGCAAACGATACCTACTGTCGATTCCGTGTGTTCAAATAAAGTATAATACATACCTAAAAAGGAAATTGAGCGAAAATTTCCGTCTTTACTCTTTTGTTCCTTCCATCAACTAGTTTCCTTTTTCAATTTATGACATTTGATATCTTCAACATTCTCGTTACGCTCGCCCCTCTCATCCATTCATTCTGTATGTATCGTATGTATAATATTCAACGCGAATAATGTTGATTTTCGGTTTAATAATTGCCTACCTCCCGATCCCTTGATTATCCAATTTCATTAAAACCGGGCAAACCAAGCAAACATACGACAAAGCAGCGCACGATCAAGTGAGATTCATTGTGACGTCATTCACCGCCATATCGTCGATAATTTATGCAAAAATTCAAAAAAAATTGCTGCTTTATTTCGGTGCACAATTTGCAATACCATTCGTAATGATTGCTTTGTTCAGCTAGAGCTTCAGTTGATTGGAAGTAAATCGACATAAATTGACACGTGCGCACATTCAATGCAATCGTTAGAATGATGCCTGGCAACGTGTAAAGTATCAGCGAACATTTTCATGACACACGGGCTCATTGAAGCGTTCAACATCTAAACGAATTTACAATTAGTACAAAATCGCCTGGCAATACACATACACGTGCAAGAGAGCAAAAGAGCAAGCACCGGTTCGGACATAGAAATATGTTTACGTAGATGTTCTATTTATATATATAAAACTAAACGTCCGTCTGTCTGTCCTACTTTTTTTTATTTCCACGATTTTTTGATTTTTGGTTTTGTTAATGAATATGCCGTTAAAATTCTCGCGGCTTAAATAGCGAATTCACATATCAGTTTTGATTTTCAAATGTAATTTTCAAAAAATTTGAACAAAAATTTTTTTTAAATTTTTTTTCGATACAACGTACATTAATGTGGATTAATGGCAATCATAATATATGCGTATTATTGTTAAAGAGATTTTATTTCATGTAAAAATAAATAAATTGAACAAATTCATAATTCACGTCAGGACAAACAATACATGAGTGAAATTTGTTTTGGATAAAAGAGACTTAAAATGGGGAGAAGACACACGTAGATTGGCTTTATATAAAGTAGCTTGGAAGAGAATCGTTTAAGCTTGAAACACTGATTTAAGAGAAAATATATTGTTTTCTTCAATGCAAGAAAGAATTATGCGGTGGAACAGAAAATGGCTCTGAATTCGAGTGAAAAAAATAAAATAGATATATGTTTATTAAGAGAAAAATTAGAACATTAAATGAATGGGTGGGTGATGATGATGAGTGACTGGAAAATGAAAAAATTATTCGAACTAAAGATAGACGTTATTCAGATTTTTTATCTTTTCATTTGATACGAATTGTATACAATGTTAATTTCGGAGTGTCGCGAAGCGACCTAGCGCCGAAGCCGAGCGAAGCGAGTACTACTTACACTTACGCGTGCGTCTCGCAATGCACGATCGCCCGTTGATACGTTCGTCGCACGGTCGCCCGTACGCGTCTATGCTTTGCATATTTATCTTGCATATTTCTATATCCGAACCGATGCTTGCAAAAGAGTGAGAGTGAGCGATTGAGTGAGAGAGAGAAACAAATACGGAAAGAATGAAAGGCTGGTTCGAATGGAATTGGATATTATTATGCTTTGCACAAATCCATTTGCAAATGAAACCATTTCCAGAATGACGCGGCAAATTGTTTCATCCGTTTGGGTTTTTGTTTGTCAATTTCAATGCGCAGTTATTTGACATGTTTCAATGCAAGCCAGATCAAAAAAGAGGAAGAGAGAGAGAGAGAGAAAGCGGAGCGAACGAGAGTGCACACCAAACTAAAATTTAATAATGTTTATTCAGTTACATAAAACACAAACACTCACAGCGATAGAGAGCGAGAGATAGATTCCCCTTTTTAGCTGCGACTTTCAGGTATTACCAATTTAAATCGGTTGAATAACAAATTGTCCAAAAAACGTGATGCAATGACCAGTAAATCAAATCAACGATAGTTGGAATGACCGCAAATCTGAGAAGAAGAAAAAAATGATGGCCAAAAGAGGAAGTTAACGAGAATGAGATGGACGAAGTCGTTTGCTTGATTTCAGAAGAGAAAAAAAACTAACACCTTGCTGCATCCATCAACGAGAGTTCCGTGTCCGGCGTATTTTCATTCACAAAACCGATGTCACAGTTACTCGGCAAATCGTTTACCACTTCGTGTTATACTTCCATTCTGGTCACAACATAAAGTGCTTTCATGCGCCAAATATTGACTTAGTTGATTGGACTGTGTAAAAACCGATAAAATGTTCGATGAAAAGAGAACAACAACTGCATTCAACGCTGAACGGCAGAACGAAAGGGGTGAAGAGAGAGAAAACTGAATCCAACTAAAAAGAAATCCGCATTTCATTGCAGGAAGTAGAGGACTATGGGCACTATTTGTCGTTTATATGGATAAGAAAAAACAATGGCATATGCTTTTTAGGTTTTATGTTTCCAATTTGGTTGAAGACATGAAAAGGTCGTTAAAAATGTTGATTTTCATTGATCTCTCATTTCATTTTGGCATTTCATTTTAACAACATATCACAACACACATAGAAACGTGTAACGACAATTTTGTCACATTTTTCGTCACAGGTAATATTACCGGCATTTTAACGCCTTTAACGTCGTTTCATGCGAATGTCGTTCTCGTCGCCGTCAATTCTATTCAAACGGGACACAAATAACTTAGAATCAAACCATACGGGGGGGGGGGGGGGTAGGCAGTTAAGTATACGTGTTCACTTAAAATATATAGTATTGTAGAAAGAAAAGAAAATAATATCGAAACAGGAAAGTTGTGAAACTGTTGCCGATCACGAGTACAAACACACACACACACACACACACATACACAACCATATGCACGTACGTTTTGAACAACAAGAGTCCATTAGCGTAAAAAGTCAAGCTCACTCGAGAAGTGAGAGCACATTTTCACCCTTTTTTTAGAATGAAAAAAAAACTGGCAAAGAGCATTCCATACATACATATCGGATTATATTCGGTGATTCGTTCAAATTTCAAGTAAAACGATGCAATCGGTGGTGAATTGGTGTAACAATGACGATTTCACAAAATAAAAAGAAATATGTCTGATTCCATGCTTTCATGCAACAAAACCGTTACATGAAAAATCGTAATTGTTTCGCACCCGAACGGAAAAAGAAGAAGAAGAAGAAAAAGAGAAAAAGGTGAGGAAAGAAAAATCACGCGGCAATACCATTAGTAAAAGCATATTTGTAAATAAGTCTCAGGAATAATGGTACATCACACGCGATACGATCGTCAGTTATGTGTACGTTCGATACTAATGAGACGACATCGATGCACACACCAAATACTACAATGTGCATTTTGTTTATACCGATGAACGTGAAAAAAAAGCGAAATACCAAAACACCAACGTACATGCACACATACGCATCAAGACCGAAAGAGGACGCAACAATGGGAATGAAGAACTTGTACGACGATGTTGTTGTTGGTGGTGGTGGTGGTGGTAATGGTGAAACTGGCGTTGTTGTTTCGAACTTTGAGTCGTTCTTACTTATGTTTTTTTCCTATTCTACTTTTCTATTGACAGCAAATGTGAGTATATCGAAGCACATATTTTTGTTCATTTTGGTCTCGTTGCGTTCGTTTCGTTCGTACGTTGGTACGTTCGTTCCCTTCACCTTGTGTGTACCACAGAGCTCTTGCCTCGCCGTATTGGATTATAGGCGAGAGAGTGAGCATAGCACGGTGCTCGGTTGGCTTTCCACCAAGACACTGATTCTGATGTGTATTGTACTGAAAAAGAGGGTATATTTATGCCATTCAACCGAATGCCAGTTTCAGTCTGTGACTAAAGCTCGTTGGCTGCGCATCTCTCAGCTGATTATATAAATACACATTGAGAAAAGCTATCGCCGCTTCATATCCCAAAAATTCAAATATAATACACACGCCGAGAACGTGAGCAATTCGAATTGAAACATTGTCGTCTTTTTTTTGGGGGATCACACGCACACATCAACCAACCGTCAAACCAATTTACGGGACCGAATAATAATTTTTGTTCGTTTTTCTGCCGTATTTTTGTTTTCGAAATCATTTGTGCTAACGAACATTTGGAACAACGGAACAATAATATAATCGCGAACCGAAACACTTCCGTTGCCGAATCGCGCGCGTGTTGAATATTTTCTTCGGTTGTGTTTTTTTCCGTTGCGCCAAACCATTGAAACGCCGAAAGACAGATTTCGAAACACGAACACAGAGCGAGAGAGAGAAAGTGAAAAACCATTTAATTTGTGTTGTTATTTTTTGAATGTGTTGTTTGTGCTCGCGCTTATTTTCATTGTAATTCATAGAGTACACACATATTTTTTATTTGTCTATAATTTTCTCTGGAGTACGGCGCGACAGCTGGCAATTTTTGAATTGGTACGCATAAAATTTTCGAAAATAAAAGCAAAACGATAGAGACATAGACGAAGGGTGCAGGTGTAGCAACAATAACAACTGAAAACAACTGAAAGCAAATAAAAACAAATAAATTAAAATTAAAGAGCGTGAAGTTTAGCAAACAAATTCGCGAAAAAAATTGACGAAGACGACGACTAGGAAAGACAACGACACACACACCGACAAAATCGAAACCGAAGAAGAAGAAGTTGGTGGGAAATTTTCATCGGAAAGCACACGAGTATTTGATGAAATTTCAGCGAATAATATTCGATCGGCTCGAATTCAGCCAAGTGCCGCAAAACGCGTATTACAAATAATATTACAACCATTAAAACGGAACAGAACGTTTCAAATACAAACAAAAAAATAAAAATAAAAATAAAAAATTCCAAAAAGAAAACACAAACAAAAAACAATCTCCAAAATGAATGTGAAAATGCGTCAAACGGTTTGCGGTTTTTTACTCATAATTTTATTAACGAATACACAAAATTGCGGCGTGCAAGCCGATGACAAAACAATTAACAGATTACTTAATAATCAAGCCATCGTCAGTCGGCAAATTATGTGTGTTTTAGAAAAAAGCCCATGCGACCAATTAGGTCGGCAGCTGAAAGGTATGTATTATTATGTATACTAATTGTGTGTAAACATTTTCCAATCGAAAAATTTATTTAGGCTTAGAGAGGTGGGGGAAAACAACGGAAAAACCAAACTTTTCCTGTTTGATCTAGTTTGTCAATTGTTTTCAGTATTTGTTTTTGTCTTTCTTAAAAAAAAAAGAAAGTTCACGTTTTCCGATCAAAATGTGCTCGTTAAGCGAAGCAAAAGAAAAAATCTCCACCGATAAATAACCGTGGAGGCAAGCGAGAAGAAAACGTCATTATTTTCTACCCAATAGATCAATCAATGGTAGATACGTGTACTAAAAGGTCATTCCTTTCTTTTTTTCTCGCTGGCGGCAAATTCCGCTTTGTTTTGCTTATTTCAATGTTTTGGAGTCCTCAATTTGGACAACCGAGAGCAAAAAGTAGAAAAAAAGGGATGGCAAAGTGTAAATAATAAATCAAAAGTGATCTGATCCGTTTCAGTTTCGGTTCCGTTTCGCTCGTGGTGTCTTGTGGATGACAATAAATGCGATGGCAGTGCACGAATGGTGGCTATGCATGAATCGTGGCTGTAATAGCACACTGGATTTGGGTTAATTTAATTGAATGAATTGTGATTTATCCTTAATTGGACAAACGGCTGGACAAAATCGCTTAATTCATGTCTTACGATTTGTTCCATTCATTTCCATTGGTTGTTCTATTATTGTTGATCGGTCAAAACCACCTAAGTACGCTGTCATCTACGACGCAACACATCATGTTCAGATCGCCGCTAATTCTTTCAATTCATTGAAGTAGCTGTTTAGCTTGGTGCTGGTGTTGCTACACACAATCATGCGATATGAAATCAGTGTTAGTGGTATCAAAGCATTTAAGTGTGGGTACGCGCGCGTTGCCTTTTAATTCCATTGCGACTGACTGCGCTCTGTTACTAAACTTTTGAATTGATTGGGTCACTTAACCATTTGTATCGCTGCTCTTCTTCTCTCCCTCTCTCAAAACTTTTGACCAAAACAAAATAATCAAATAAAAACACGCTACAAAACACAGCGAATGACACACACTCATACACACACCAGCAACAGAAATGACTTTTTGACGAAATTAAAGCGTATTTCCACTTGATCTCGCTCTCGCTCTCCGTTTGTTTCGTTTCGCTTTTTATTTCGGCGTCGAATTTGTTTATGTGCCGAACACGAAAAGAAACCAATGAACAATGAATTCAGTAGCGTACGTGCGCTCACTCACACTCACACTCTCACTCGCATCACCCATTTGATGCAATGCGAATTACATTTGATTAGTACTGATGAAGAAGTGACGAGTTGTCACTAAAGTCACATGAATTTCGTCTTATCGATCAATTGTAAAAAATTACAGTTTCCGTTATCTCATTCTTTCGCAACTACATTACACTTGCTTTGTTCCCAATTCAACCGTGGTGCTGGTTCATTGGTGTGTACGACGAGAATTGGCTGCTGCATACATGTTGAATATTCATTGAATCCCTCTCAATTTCAACACGTAGTCAAAACCATTTGCCATATTTTCGGTCGCACATAAATTTAACGGCTGTCAGTTTGAATTAATAAATTCCTCATTCTTGAGTTGAATTAGAAATTGAGCTACGGGTTGATTTCATCACAAAGGTGAAACATAGAATTTTCTCGAAATGCCAAAACAGAAAATAATGATCAATGCTCATTAAACGTGGCTATCACAATCAACACATCATCCGGACTATATTGTTTTGTTTTCATGACTCAACGCAGGCCATAGAAGCATCATGATTTCGAAACAAACAAAAACAACATCAATCATTATCATCATATTGAATCAATTTCGGGTAATACATGAGCCGTTTTCCCCATTCATTTATTATGCCATATTCTTTGCAGTTTTAATGGCCATTTAATGATGATATGCTCATTTATCCGAAAGTTGCCACACTTTTTGGTGACCGCTGCATTTCATCTAATCCACTTTGATAGTTGTGCCCCATCCAGTTGAAAATGGCCCGGTTTTTTATCGGCAATTAAAAACACTTGAAAAACCTCTTACTTCAAATGTAAATCCTTCTGAAGCAGCGAAAATTTCGCAAAGAGCGCCGAGAGAGAGAGAGAGAGTCAGCGAAATGGAAATTTTGCGGCTGGAATGCGTCACGTTTGCCATAAAATGAAATGGATAAAATGAGAGCCGAACAGTGAAAGAAGCACTAAAAAGGAGAAAATTCAATTTGGAATTGTTGCTAACGATACAAATGGCCACTTTTTCCATAAAGAAAATTAGTTATTCATTTATGAAGTGCTCGTCATCCGAGTCAACGAGATGCTTTTCATTGCAAATGAGATGCGCAACAACATCCAACATCGACCGAACGGGCATCGTTGTTGCATTTTTCGTTCTTGTTTTTTTCTATACACCTTTCATCCGTCGTTTCTCACCAGAGCAACCTTTCGCCCATGCCTCTCCCGCTCTCTCTCTCTCTCTCTCTCTCTCTCTCTCTCTCTCTCTCTCTCTCAGACTCATCATTTTCATTTATTATTTTACAGACGCCAGATGTAATGATTTTTGATGAAAAGCTATGAATATCGAATGGGTCGTGTGTTTTTCTCTTCTTTTTCGTTCTTTTTTGTCTGCTTATGTGTCATAAGTAGGAAAAACCCCTGAATTTATACAAATTAGGTCCAAGTATATGTGTTGGGTGGCATACCTTTTGGATGCATTCACACTGATAATGGGCAACATGACACTGAAATTTGGATTATTCGTGGAGCGAATCACTTAACGACAAATCTCATTTACGGTATTCCAATATGAAATTCCTTGGCATCAAAAGCGAAAAGTTTTTGCATCGTTTTCCGCAGCGTTTTTCAATTTCCTTGTTACCGAAACTTCATTGAGACGGAAAATGAGAGGGAAAAATGGTTGCACTGTTGAATAAGCTAGTTAGTTACCTATGTGAAATGTGTGTCGGCCGCGCCACATGAAAATTGAATGAATATTTGGATTTTTGGTTGTGTGCGTCCATTTTTCGTGCAATTTTATCGGAAAATCGAAAGCTCCAGCATAAGAAGCGATAAAGGAGAGACTGGAGGCGATGATATTCGCAGGAAAGCAAACATAATGCTGAGCATAGTATAATGGTGAAAATGCAAAATTCTGATGAGTTTATAAAGTTATTTATGAGACGGTGCATGGGCAGCAGTGTAGGTGATTCAGAAAGTTTGTTTTTCTTCGCCTTGGCCGTACACGTTTGCTCATCGTCGCCGTTTATGTCTGTTCGCATCATGTTGAGAATATTTCAAGCGTGTTCTGTGTCGCTACCGTTTCGTCATTACATAATTTTTTCCTTTCCTATTCGCATGCGATTTGAATCAAATAAAATCAAATCAACTCATTTGTAGATGTTTAGATCTTCAATGTAATCGCCAGTTTGGACCCAGTGACAAACGATTTTTTTTCTTCTTTTCGATGAAATACGACTGAAAGTTATGGACAAATGGTAAAGGCAAAAGAATGAAAAATGTAAAACTCGGACAGATAAAGAATGTTGAGTGAAATCCCTCGATACTACGACTTTAAATGGCATCATCTTACTTTTCAGGCCTCTTTTTCACTTTTCGCAACGCCCATCGTAAATATGGGTAATCTCATTTTATCGGCTAGGGCAATTGAAATGTTTACTTTCTTTTCCTCTTTTACTTCTTCTTCTTCTACTTGTTTAGAGCTTCAATATTCCATTTTCATAAAAATCAGCATTTTTATTTAATGGACCGAAAATGTTTATTGAATCACGATGCCGACATTTGAGCAGACAACAACAGAAAAAACGAAGGAAGAATAAAAGAAAAAGAAAAGAAAGAAAAAGAATACGTGTTACAGCGACGGAAATTATGAAATCGCAACGTCAAAATTTGTCTACTATATCAGCAAAACGGATTTGCATAAATCTGTCATTCGTTAAGTGTCTCGTCGATCGTATCGTATATAATTTTTGTTGTCGTTTCGATAGGCTTCGGGAGCTTTCAATGACCACGACAGTTAAAGTTTTGGTGTTCATGCAGAAACAGACGTTTTCCTGTGCGTTTGGATGGGCTATCATCATTTTTGTGAATTGTTATGACGATTTTTCTTCTGATTCACTGATTGATTTGATGCCATTCGTCGGAGCATACAATTCCCTTGTGACAGGCAACAACGGCTCGGACACATACTTGAAATCACTTTGCGAATAGAACACGGAATTTCGTATAGAAAAGTCAGTCGTTTTTTTCTTTCTTCTTTTCCTTTTTTCTTCTTCGACTTCTCTTATTTGATGCCCTGCCTCTGCCGCCAACATTCCGAACACGTGTAAACCACTCACCAATGAACAATTCGCAAATAATTTGAAACTTTTTTTTTCTAATATTAATTAGAGTTGGGCATAAATAGACCGGCTATTCGGCTGTTGGACTCGATTTTTTGAAGATGCGTGCCTATTAAATTTCAGCTTGCTCATGAAAAGCAGGAAGATAAAGATGGAGAAAAAAAAGCGAAATAAGTAATTCAAATAGGACTCGTGTTTACCTCGAAATGTACTTGATTTAATTTGATTCTCGCCCAGGCCATTGCCAAGATTGCGAAGCGGCGAAAAACCATCCAGTTCTTTAAATCGATGAGAAGAAAAAGAAACTTTTTCTTTCGTATAAATTAATCAAATTCGTTAAATAAATTTGTACAGCTTCACTTTGTTGCATTCCAGCCGCGCGTGCTTGGTGATTGCTGCTTTGCAGAGAGCATTACAGCCGTACAAGCCACGAAAATGAATCCCCCTCGCCGTTATTATACTATACTCAGAATTGCAAATATTTTTGTTGCTTCTCATCAAAGAGAAAATTTTATTGTTGGCAGGGGATTATGTTCTGGGTTTCTTATGCGTGCATACACACGCTTGTACTGTTTTTATCATGAAATTTTCCGGCAAAACAAAAAATATGAACCACTTTTTACATCAATCGAAAGTT